AGAAAGGCACAAAAACACAAAGAAAACACCCTAAATATTTCCTTCAACAAAAATGTCCAAATTTTCACCCATCTTCCAACAAGAAGTGGGATATAAGCACTTGTAAGTTACATTCATAATTTGAAATTACAATTAAATTAAAGTCACGTAAAATTGAAAGTTACATAACTAAATTAATTTGATAAGCCAAAAATGCCTCAGCCTTTATTATGCTGCAAATACATATTTTTATTTCACGTCCTGCATTAGTATTGAATAAGTTAATTTGAACTCGACGTTTCTCGTTCTTTGAATATTGTTGATGATAGTACGTATAGTACACGTTATTTCTAGAGGCGGATTCTCTGGCCTTTCACTTCCTGGACTTTTTTGTTTTATGTGATCATGGATAAGCTACGTCAACATTTTATATTCATTTTTTTTATAAAGATAATAAGACAAAAATAAATAGTAATATAAAATATTAACATCACTTAACCGTAACCACACAAATAAAAAACACGAAAAATGGGAGGATAAAGAATCTGCGTCCGTTATCTCTCTACGCAATACATGATGTGCTACATTCCAAAAAGTAATTCCATGTATCGAATAGTGCCAAAAAGACCTTCAAACAAAATAATTAGTGTTTCGAGAGAAGAGGGGTCGCATTGGCAGGTCGCACCGACTTTTTTTTTTTTTTTTTTTTTTTTTTTTTTCATATTTTGACTTCCAATAGATCTCTCTGTATTCTCTACATTTCATCTTGGTAACAATTTGAGTTACACTTTACCCCAAAATTAGAATTTTTACCGGTCATGACTTTTAAGAAGCATCTGTTATTGTTTTTCGCAGATGGATTCTCGAACGAGAAAAATGATCCAACGACTTCAAAAAAATTGAACAAGAAGTCGTATGAAGTGAAAATCTCATGTACTGTTCTGTAAAGTGGCAGTAATTGTGATTTATCTATCAACTTTTCCACTATCATTACTAAATAATCAAACCATGGCTTACATAAAGTTATCAAAGTATGCTTAACTATTGGATTTGAAATCGAATATATACAATACAAGGTATGAAAATATGTATATTATTAGGCTAAATTGTAGTAAAGGTCCCTAATTTATATCACGACTTTAGTTTTCGCCCCTGAACTCTACTAATAGTTTCTCTTATCCTCGAATGATGTGATTTGTTGCACTAGTAGTCTTTTTCGTTAACCTCATAATTTGAGGGATAAAGTAGGAATGTCATCCAAAAAATATGAAAATGATTTTTTTTTCTTTTTTTAAGAGAAAGACTTGGCTTCTTAAGGATTGAGGAAGAACTTATCCTTAAAATACCTAGTGACCTATTTACAGAACTTCGTGCTTATGGTATAAACTTTTTAAGAATTGATTATACGATCTTAGTTTTAATTTATTTTTTGCATATATGATCTTTATATAGTGATTTATGATATGAACGGTTTCGATCATAAGCACGAAATTCTATGAATACGACACGAAGTATTTTGAGTAGGAATTCCTCTCTAACCTTAAGAAGCCAAGCTCTTCTTTTTTTTTAAAATAAATTAATTTTTTTTACGAAAAGACCACTATACCCTTAAATTGACAGAAAAGAAGATAAATTTGATGGAATGACTATTCATGCAACGCAAAGTTGGAGGACGAGTGAAATTAATACGAGAATTTAGGGATGAAAACTAAACATAGATAAAATTCAAGGACCTTTACTGACCATTCCCACTACAAGCAGGGTTAGTGAGCCGTGTCTTAGGCGATTAGTTTGCTGAAAGTACTTGAGTCAGCCGCAGGTGCCGAATTGACAGCTTATCCAATTTTTGGGCCAATCCCCCTTATGTGCTACCAAAAATGAATTATATGTGTTACTATCACACTAGAATCGGAATATATATATATATATATATATCAACTTTATATGTGTTACCATCACAATTACTTCGGCAGTTGATCAATGGACTGTAATGGCAACACTTGTTTCAGTACACACCACAGTGACACTTAATTATTAATTAAATCATGTTTGATTGACATTTAGATTATCATCTCCAAAGTTTGCGTCTGCATTACCTATCATCAATTGTATAATCATTTCTCTCTATTTTTTGCTCAACGAAGGAAACAGAGAGACGTAGGTATATAGTTGACTACGACAATTGTTCCTCATATTTAATTCAATTGGATCAATTAAAAATTTATAATTATTAGTTTCTTAACTCGTCAAAACTTACAACTATAGTCATTTTTATCAATTATGTTAGAACTGTCCTCAAAATGAGTCACGTGCCACGTACGTGAGGATAAACTAAGGGGCAAATATGGAAAACCAAATGAAAATATTATAACAATGTTCAATCAACTACAACCCAATTGGAGAAATGATCTTCTAACTTTAATTCAATTAGAGCAATGATCTCTCAACTTTGATCTAATTGTAGCAATGATCCTTCTAACATAACTCATTTTGACGGAATTGACGAAAATAATAATAACTGCACATTTTGACGAATTAAAGGACTTTGTGGACAAAAAGTGGACTTTATGGACAAAAAATGGACTTTTGAGGTTACTTTGTGACACAAGGCAGACAAGTAGGAGAAGAAAATGGGTTAATGTGTGCCATTATCTATAGGTTTGCTTGAAAAACAAGAAATTAAAAAGGAAATCAAACAGATGGAATCAAACTTGTGGTCAGGAGAGGCTAAAATGCCTATGTCATTCTTTTCGACTTTCGAAAAAGACGGATAACCGTGACTTGCCACCAATTGTTCACCTTTTTAAGGAAAAAAAAAACAGATGGGAGTTCAAAAATCGCAGGAAAAAAAAAAGAAAAGAAAAGAAAAGAAAAGAAGGTGCTAAAATGCCTATGTGAGTTTTTTCGTCTTTCGAAAAAGACGGATAACCGTGGTTTGCTACCAATTGTTCACATTTTTAAGGAAAAAAAAAACAGATGGGAGTTAAAAAATCGCAGGAAAAGAAAAGAAAAGAAAAGAAGGTGGTAAAAGGTGCCAGCTGGAGGAGAGATTTTTCAATGTGACCGGCACACAAGGTGGTACACAACGTGTCACTATACAAATAGTGTAATTTGTGTGTCAAAAAGTTAATAACTTAAATTTTTTTATTTTATTATTTACATAAAAATACGTGATATACCATTCCTATTCCCGTTATATTTAAAAATTTCTCCAGCTGGAGGAGAAGAAATGCAAATGTGTAGTCGAGAGTGAGGAGACAAAAACAGGAGGGATTGGGGGAGGGATTGATCGGAATTAGGGATAAGAGAATTGTCGGCTGTCCTTTCTTACCCCATTGGCCCCTTGCTTTGGGCCCCAATATTCATCTAGTACAGGCACCATGTGAACATTTTGCTTCAAATGACCAAAATGACCCCCGTGTAATTGTACTTTTAGTGACCAATAAAATAATATTTTTAAGCTTAATCAAGTTAGTTAAATGAATGTGGACTCCTCTTCTAAATTTGAATTTCATCTCCTTAAACAAAATTTGAATTCTATCTTATACGTTTCGAACAATTTAATGAACGACGAAAAAATAATAAGATGAAGGGCTCCGGACACCCACAAAGAAGGGTCAAAGGTTTTGGGCATGTAGCTCTCCCCGTACCCCCTTCCTCGAGTGATTTTTGTGTGAGGGATGCGTTACCAAAAATCGGGCTTGAAGCTCTTTCGTTACCAGTGAGTCGACATTGATGCCTGTTGGTCATGACTACTACCAAATATGTAGACTATTGTTTGTATCAAATTATGCACACTTTATTTCATTAGAGGTTGAACTCCAGTAGGTAATATTAAATCTCAACCGAAGAACACGCCAAATTTTTCTTCCAATGATTGTTGCGTCTATAAATTTTAATCTACACCAGGTTGACGTTTCCTCACCATTAATTTTTTTTCCAGTTCCTTTCATTACATTTTATTCTAGGATTGAGAATTGTTTTGGAGTGTCAATAATAATTCTTTTATTATTTTGTAACTAATGATGTTTATTCACTTTTTATAATTTAAGGGGTATTGTTACTTAGTACTACTGTCTAATAGTATTTCTTTTCACTTGTAAGCGAGAGGTTTTATGTTCGATTTTCGTTAAAAATGAATTTGAATCACATTATTGCAAATCCATTATGAGACTTAATCCATCTCTTCCCTTAGAGTAGATAATATCGTTTATTAAAAAAATAAAATTTAAAGGGTAATAACGTCTTTCAACAAAATCATCAAAATTTAGGGGATGCTGGTAACCGGGTTATTGATATTGACAAGAAAGGTACCTTTATCTGACACACAGCAAACCCAAACGGCGTCGTTTTCTCTTCAGTCGTTCACACAATGAATTGAATCAGTGCTTTCAGGGCTTTTGCTTTTCAACAGGTAAGCCTTCCTCTGGCAGTTTGCACAGCTGAACCACACCGAGAGAATAAAGAAACAACCAAGCATACCTCCAAATAAATAAATACATATAATTTTATTAATCAAAGAAAAAATTTATATAAAGACGTCGAGAGATGTTGAGTCACACAATAAGCTGATTATAATTAAGTATTGAATTTATTGTTCACAAAAGTTGAATCGTCGTTTATAAGAATCAAATTTGAGACCAAAACAAATAATAAACTCATCATTCATAATTTTTTCGCTTATATATACAGATAAACATCATAATTCATAAAAATCAATCCTTAGACTCAAATAAATTTTAAACTCGTTATGTTATAAGTACATATAAATTGAAGAAAGTTGAGATTTCGCTACAAAGCTAGTCGTAATATGATAGTAACTGAACCTCTTATAACCTCTTGTAAGCTTTCTCCTATCACCGTTATATTGTGGTATTAGTAAATAATTATTTTATGTAGAGATCAATAAATGAGGTTTGGTAGAGGGTATTTTAATTTTAGAAGGAGCTGTTCATGTAGTTGGTGTGTACAATGATTATTGGCTCGTAGAGAGAGAAAGTGAAGAGTACAATAATCCATTTTTGCTGCTCTCAATCTCAACACTTTACTTTTGTATATCATTTCACGTTCCTCTTCTATCTTCATCTCCTTCCCTTTTAACTGGTTTACTGTGCTTTTGCTCCTCTAAACACTCGGATTTGTTCCTCTCTCTCTCTCTCTCTCTCTCTCTCTCTCTCTCTCTATACTCTCTCTCTACACCCATCTGAGTTAACAGCTTGTAGGTGTGTGGGGTATATGGATTTTTGACTTCAGAGGAGAGCTTCCCACTGTCATATACTTTGGCTTTTGCTTCAGCTTCTTGCTGTTGTTTAAAAAAAGGTGCTTTTCTGCTTCTCTTTTTGCTTTTCCCGATTATTTTCTTTGTGCAAATTAGTATTCCCTCTTTGAACACTCCATCAAGCTTCTTGTTACACCATCACTCTCTGCTTTCTAATTTTTAATTATTTTCACAGTTCCCATCTCTATTATTTGGTAGTTTAGTGGGTTATACATGTGATTTGTTCAATCTTTTGGATCATCACTCTGCTGACTGTTCCCCCTGTTTCTGCTCACTTCAGTGGGGTTTTTGCCAGATTTGGGATCTGGGTTTTGCTTAGATTTGGGTTTTCATAGTGTTTCTGGTGTTTTTCTAGTGAGATAAAGCAAGTTCAGAGGAGGGATCATGGCAGGCGGAGGCGGCGGCGGAGCTGCAAAAGTGGATGAGCCACAACCACATCCACCAAAAGAACAGCTACCCAACATTTCTTACTGCATTACAAGTCCACCTCCATGGCGTGAGTGCCTCTAATCCCACATTCAATAGTTATTTTACTTGTTTTGCTATTTGGGATTCTAAATTTCTAAGTTTTTTTTCACGTATTAATGGTATTGTAAGATAAATGACGGATCTTTAGTTTCTGGGTGTGATTCTTTTGGATCTTTTTGGTATATCTGAAGCGGGTGTTGGATCATTCCACTCTTTAATTTATTTATTTTGTTAGATCATTCCACTCTTTAATTTATTTATTTAGGGCACGAGATTCCTGTATTTTAATTGTTGAAAGTAGCTTTTTCTTTGGTAGATACCACTTTTTGAAAAGGATATAGAAAGTCGAAATTCTATGTGCTTTTGTTTTTCTAAAAGAAATTTACTTTCTTCTTCCCCTTCTTTCCTTTTTTTTATTGGAATTGCGTTTCTGGAGGGATTTGTTTTAATCTTTACTATATTTTGTTAATTGCTTATTTGTCTATTCTTTGCTTGGGTAGCTTTACTGATTAAGTGTTAGTACTTTTTTGGGAACCCGGTATCTTGTTTTTCATTAGTCGGTAGCTAAGATTCTATCATGGCCGGATCTCTAGTCAAACTGATTCCCACCAAATTAGCATTCGGCTATGGTTTCTCGAATCTCTTTTCGGCTTTGGCAAAGCACTTCCGTTACTCTTTGGTAATGGTTCTCTAAGTTCTGTTTTACCGCCTTTATATGTTAAGGAATTAAAGGAATTCGATTTGAACATGTCACATTTCAGATATTGGGTAGTTTTAATTTTGTAGTGCAGTTGAACGTCATTACTCTTAAATCCTGTTATTACTTAATTTGTTAGTCATAAAGGATTTAACAAAATCACGGCTCATTTTTGGTCCAGCCGATGCCATTCTCCTTGGTTTTCAACACTACCTTGTGATGCTTGGAACTTCAGTTCTCATCCCCAGTGCTCTTGTTCCCCAGATGGGAGGAGGAAATGTAAGATCCAAAGAACTTTTTGCACAAATTCTAATTGACATAAGCCATATATTGTACTTTTCTTCAAAATTGACCAACGGTATATATGTATAAACATGTCTCGCGCTATTGTTATAGGAAGAGAAGGCCAAGGTGATCCAGACCCTGCTTTTTGTGGCTGGTTTGAACACATTGCAACAGACTTTGTTTGGGACTAGACTACCCGCAGTGATTGGAGGGTCGTATACGTTTGTCCCGACCACAATTTCCATCATATTAGCTGGTCGATTCAGTGATAGTCAAGACCCTATAGAGGTTTGTTCTGAAGTCCATCCCGTTTCTTTTGAAGTCATTTTATAAACCTAATTGATTGTCACCTGGTGCATAACAAAAGGATTCATCAGGTAACTGTAGTTGTTTTTGATATGTGTCAAATGGTCGATTCAGTGATAGTCAAGACCCTATAGAGGTTTGTTCTGAAGTCCATCCCGTTTCTTTTGAAGTCATTTTATAAACCTAATTGATTGTCACCTGGTGCATAACAAAAGGATTCATCAGGTAACTGTAGTTGTTTTTGATATGTGTCAAATGAACTTGCTGGAAGGCATACACTAAGTGCTGATGTACCACTTACTAGAGCAGTAATTGTTTTCTAAATTTTAAAGGGAAGATGAGTTTTATGCATTCAAATATCGACAATTCTCATGCTTATCTGCACAGACTTTACTGTAGGCTTGCAGCTTGTGACTATGATTTAATGTCTTTCATTTCAGAAATTTAAGAGGACAATGCGGGCAATCCAGGGTGCTCTTATTGTTGCTTCAACTCTTCAGATAGTCTTAGGCTTCAGTGGCCTTTGGCGTAATGTTGTAAGGTTGGTTCTAAATAAGTGGCACTCAATTGTGGTTGTTAGAAAAATTAGTATGGTACTTGTGAGATTCATACAGAAATATTTCAGTTTTCTTGCTAAGCTTAAATGGTCATGGTGATTAAAGCTCTACAAAAAAATTTCTTCAGGTTTTTAAGCCCACTTTCAGTTGTTCCTTTGGTAGCAATGGTTGGTTTTGGACTCTACGAGTTAGGTTTTCCAGTGGTAAGTGTTCTTCTGAGATGTGTATGGGTGCATAATTATGGTGAATAATGTTCTGACAATTATTTCTTAATGCTTCTCCTGGATATTTAGCTTGCCAAATGTGTGGAGATTGGACTGCCAGAGCTTGTCATTGTAGTATTTATTTCTCAGGTGATGGTCCTTAAACCTGTTTGAATCCTTATATTATGTCTCTTGCCTTTGTGGCTGTTATCTTGGTAACCTTAGGGAAAATTATTCTTGTAAGGCTAATATTGTTTTTGCAATGTTGATGCAGTATATGCCCCACATAATTCACAGAGGAAAGCCTATATTTGATCGTTTCGCTGTCATATTTTCCGTGGTGATTGTGTGGATATATGCTCACCTACTCACTGTTGGTGGAGCATATAATGGTACCGGCCCAAAAACACAGACAAGCTGCCGTACTGATCGTGCTGGACTTATAAATGCTGCTCCGTGGTTAGTATGAAATGTGTTCTTAATACAGTTTTAACAGGAATTTAAGACATATTATGACGTTTAAATCCTTGATTTGCCTTCGTTAAATAGTAAATATTTGGTCACTAGCATGGCTTACGTTTTGATTGGTACCAACATTTGTTGGAAATGAATCCTTATTAGAATCTGGGTTTACAGGATTAGAGTTCCATATCCCTTCCAATGGGGAGCACCTTCCTTTGATGCTGGTGAAGCCTTTGCTATGATGGCAGCGGCTTTAGTTGCACTTGTTGAGGTTTGTACTCCTTACCTTCTTGTTCTCTTAAACTGATATTAGTTGATAAGCCAAAATTCATAATCTTTTTTACTCTCTATTAATTGATAAAACAGTCCACTGGTGCTTTCATCGCTGTGTCAAGATATGCTAGTGCAACTCCAGTGCCACCTGCTATTCTGAGCCGTGGAGTTGGTTGGCAGGTATAAAGCTTATCTATATGTGAATTTTATTTTTCTACGATTTTCTTCAACATAAACTTCTCTGATGCTTCCAAACCTGAATGTGCATCAATCTATCAATGCTATCTTTCCGTTATACTGAAGAGCAAAATATAATGCAGTTGTATTTTCTCTCCCTGCATATTGGATTCAGTTGTGCATTTTGAATTGTCGAATGATCATGCTCTCCCAAAACACTTCGCGCTCTTGTGTAAATAATTGTGTAAATGCTTTTCTCAGGGAGTTGGCATTCTGGTTTCGGGCTTGTTTGGAACTGCGACTGGATCCTCAGTATCTGTGTAAGACTCTCAATAGTAAACATTTATGCTGTATAAACATCCTACTTCATCAAGTGGAATTTAGAGTTTCTCCCTTAGTTCTGAGACTTCCCTTTGTCTCTGAACAGTGAAAATGCTGGTCTTTTGGCGTTGACGCGTGTTGGCAGTCGAAGGGTTGTGCAAATATCTGCTGGTTTCATGATATTTTTCTCCATTCTGGGTAAGTTATTAACGTATGAGGTATTCTGATTTGATTGTACATTATAATTTATGTAATGGTGGCAACTATTTGCGACTGTTTTGTTTCTGTTACTCAACATTTCATCATTGTACAGGCAAATTTGGAGCACTCTTCGCGTCGATTCCAGGGCCAATCTTTGCTGCTTTGTACTGTCTGTTCTTTGCATATGTTGGTATGTCCAGCTCATTTGACATGTGCTAGCAGACATAGATGGCTCGTTCATTTTTATATCAGATTATTATATGATGTATTTATTCCATTTAATCATGCATTCACAGGTGCCGGAGGTCTTAGCTTTCTTCAGTTCTGCAACCTGAACAGCTTCCGAACAAAGTTCATATTGGGCTTCTCTATCTTCATTGGCTTGTCCGTGCCACAGTACTTCAATGAGTACACCGCCATCAACGGATACGGTCCAGTCCACACAGGAGGAAGATGGGTATGCAACTATTGTAAAAAACCCGTATAGATTTCCTTGAATCATGCAATTATTTGCTATGATCTTCACTAACATAAATGCTCACCTGTTTTTGGCAGTTCAACGATATGATCAATGTCCCTCTACAATCAGAAGCTTTTGTCGCAGGCTGCGTCGCATATTTCTTGGACAACACGCTGCAACGAAAGGATAGTTCAGTTAAGAAAGACCGAGGTAAAACGTGGTGGAACAAGTTCCGGTCCTTCAAGGGGGATTCAAGGAGTGAGGAGTTTTATTCGCTACCATTCAATCTAAACAAGTACTTCCCATCCGTATGAAGAAGCTCGTGGTTTGGAGTTTTTAAAGGGGAAGCGCGGTTACGGTGTGTACTGATATCCATCCCAAGCTCTCGATAACTTATCTGTGATCCCTCTGTTTCTTTGCTGATATATAAGATTTATCTTTCCCTAAATAGGATGTTGTTGTAGTTCGTAAATCCAACTGGGGGTGTCGATTAAAGTTAGCACTGAAGCAGTTGTGTGCTCTCCAATTTTATTTCATTTTTTCATATGTTTGATGTTACTATTCACTGTCTCAAAGACATCTGGAAATTTGGTGGCACACCCTGATTGTCAACACTTCCTTGATCACGTTAGGAAATTGTAGTCTCGACAAGCGTTCCCGCTTAACATAACCATGTTCCGTAAGCGAGTCTAAGGTCGGCGATTTTTTAGTATGCTTTTGTTTATACGTCGAGATTCTTGATCTTTGGATCCTTGTTCGCGGAATTCGCGAACAAGGATATCAGATATGCTACTGATTTTTCATGACTTAGTTTGCATTTACATGAAGATTCAATGTCTTGCATTTGCATGTGTTGGCTAGTTAACTAATACCATAGAATTGAATACGCGGGCGTAACTACATTAACTAAAGCGAATGTGCTCCTCTCAATAAAACCGAGACCAACTTCCACTTTCCACATGGAACTATATAAGTTGGCGTAGCTACATTAACTAAAACAAATGTGCTCCTCTCAATAAAACCGAGACCAATTTTCCCTCTTCACAGTTTAGATTGGTTTATTTTTTATTTTTATTTTTTATTATTTTTTTTTATGGACCAAGAAAAGAACATAAAATAAAAAAACTTTGTGGTCCATCTAACAAGTTGGAGGAGCATTTGGATATATCAGATTTGGATTTGGAATGAATTCAATTATCTGTGTTATTGGTGGATCCAAAATATGGTGAGACCCACTGTAGTGTGGTTGATCCAGACAATTTCTTAGAGCCCAATTACACCATACCCACTTAAATCCCACTCCAATTAGCAAGCAGATTAGAGTATAGGTATCTCTTTGATAGGAGATTCTTTAATTCCAACCTACATATGTTCATCCTTGCCACTTGACCATTGGTTAATTGAACAAACAAACAGCCAACCTGGTTAAAAAGAAAATAAAAATGTGTTAGTTATTCTCGAGGGGTACTAGATTCATTTGCTCATCTTGTAATGCATCAACATTTAACAGCTGCTCAAGTCTGTCGATCTCCAACAAATTAACATCTGACTCACAGTTATTCACAAGGAGAACCGAAGCTGGGCATCATTCTAAATTATCTGAAAATCTCCCAAAAAGTAGGAGAAATTTTCCAAAGGTGATGATTAAGGGTGATAAACTAGACAGCCCATAATTCAATTTGATAAAAATTCTTATGTTCGGAATAAAGAGGAGACGTCTTACTCGACGACCACTTCACCAATTTAAGCACTTATTTTTAATAATTCAAAAAAGAAAAGAAAAAAACGTCCATTCCAAATTAACAACGCTCTCCGTTTTGTAAGGGTCGGAGCAACGTTTATAGTACATAGCCTTATCCTTATTTTGTAAAGAGACTGTTTTTACGATTTCAACCCATAAACTTTCAGTAACAAATGAGCAACATTTCCGTTGCGCCAAAACTCACCTTAAAAAAAGAAGAAGAGAAAACTACTTAAAATACAGGCGAGAGAATTTTATTAGGATATCTTCATGGCTTTTGGTCACAGATTAGGGGTACAAAAAACAGAAGAAACAAAAACCAGCAAATTAATCAAATGTCCCGACATCCTATTTGCTGTTTGGTATGGGAAATTAATAGAAATCCAACGTTTTATTGCCTAATGGAAATGACAATGCATGGGACCTACAAATTAATACAGAATGGGAAAGAAACAAAAAACAAGTCGGACCATACAAAAATTCCCAGGAAACACTCATCTCCTAGCTGCTGCTGTTTGGTGGGAGGTCCAATTAGAGAGAGAGCGTCGAATGCATGCCAAGGGAATGGCAATGGGACCTACACTATTGTTACTGTTCCTATCCACGATCCACCCACTTCAATTCATGAAAAGGGAAGAGGAAGTCAATTGCAATCCATTCGTTTTTGGCATGGATAACATAAGCATATCCGGGGATTGAAGTAAAAATTATGTAGTTACAACTATCACATTTAGTTTTGAATGAGAAAAAGAAGTGAGGAACTCTCTTTTCGACTCTGACTTTTCCACTCCAGTTGTTCATTTTCTTTCTCTATGTGTGTATATGTATATATTATATATATGAATTTGGTTGTAATATGTTGATCAATATCTTTCATATAATGTTTACGATCTAGGATACAGAAGAACCAACTTGATGAAAATTTTGCTTTAATATAGGACAATATCTTGCTATGCGGACTATGATGTGACAGTATAAGATTTAACTAAGATTAAAGCTAAGCAATAATCTTAGTTTGTTAATTATGAGATTAAGATCTAGTTACAAGAGTCAAAGTTGTATGATGCTGAATGATTACTGTTTCTCCACTCCAATTGCACCTATACTAATGTGGGTTTTCCCGGGTAGATGTCCAAGTTTTAATGAATTTCTTTCTGGATTTGCAAGCTTTTACCACTAAATATATGCTTTTGTTAATTATAATCAGAATACCTCCTCTTGTCATGTGTAGTATTTCAAGATTTTGAAATGTACAATTTGTCACGTGATATCATTCTTGATTTCACATGAGATTGGCCAAGCATGTGCACAAATGTAAAACAAGAAAGTGCATTTACACCAATAACCGATTTTTATATATTTCCTACTGTTATGGAATTGAATATGTGTAAAAATCTAGGCATTGCATTCGATTATCGTAAAATAGTCAAAATATGTGTACAAATCTAGCCATTGCAATTTGATATATTAACTAATGGGAGATTACGTAACATCGCTCTTTTTACACAAGTTTTTCAAAAGTTTTTGTGAGGCCACTTCATATGTATTTCAATGGTCCGAACCGTCTATCTTTTAGATCTTCTTTCAAAGATCATGTCTACCAAAGATCATCTAAATCTGAAACTACATATGACCGTTGAATTAATGCTTTAGGGTTCCTTTGTATAACCACATTTGTCAATTTCCTTCCGTACAAATGAATATGTATTAATAGTTTTGGATTTGTTTAATTTTTTGTAAGGATGATCTTTGAATGACATTTTAAAAGATAGATGTCTGGATCGTTAAAATACATTAGGGAGTGGACTCCACAATAATAGAAGTAAAAAATTCTATAAAAAAAATAGTGTCAAGAATCTGTCCCATTAATTAATACCGATGTGAAGCCAAATTAGCAAAAACTTTAGTGATAAAACACTTATTTTTATATTTCCGTTCTTATAACTTCCTTCCGAGAAACAAAAACATTATCTTGCGTAAAAATTAGTAGCAACTAAAAATAATATTAATTTAAAATAATATAGGATTTTGGTGATTAATTTGTAAGACTAAAGTTGATACAAAAATCATTTTTAAGGCAGATATAGGAGAGACCATATCAATTGCTAGCCATATTTCAGAGACAGAAAAATCAGATAGAGTGGTGGTTCCACTTTTCCTTGATCTTGTAGTATGACTATTGTTTGCTCCTATCAACAACCGAGCATGGAACCTTAAAGTGGTCCCGACCCCATTGCAATATCATGGCAATTGGTCAAGCATGGAGAGGGATTTTGAAACACAATTATTTCCCCTAAGCAATCATATGATACAGTGGTTACCTCTAAATCCTAAAAGCTTCAAATAATGCTTGTCAAAATCTTATTAGAAAATAATGAAGAGAACGAATGCATTGTATTACATGCTATTACTATATGAAAAATGTTAGGGAGATCATATTTTTAGATCATATTTAGCAGATCATATAATGTGATGGATAATGGTTGGATACATTCTTAATGATTTAAACAAGAAATCCAACCATTAATTACCACATCATATGGTCTTAGATGGTCTCTTAGCGTCATCCTTTTGAGGTTTGTTCTTGAAATGTTCAAAGTTTGAATTTTTAATAATGTTTTATTGAAAAAAAAAGTGTCTCGGAGTCTCTTCCTACGTTTTGATCTCTCCTTACTATAGATATAAAAACAAGAGGTATTGAATCTGTAAAAATGATATGTTTACGTACTTAAAAATAGTTGAAATAAATATTCCAACTATTTCAGTTTTTGACATTTTCTATGTTTACCTTCTCTACGTTTACTAACACATGTGAAACTAAGACATTTCCAGCATTACAAATTCTTAATTTATACTTGGGGAATATACATTATCTTAAGTATTTTTATCATATCATAATGTATGACATACACTAAACTCCACGATAAATACTGAGATGTATAGTTATATGTTAGGATTTACCTACTCGAATTCTTTATCGCCACTCTTTCTGACTTCCCTAGTTTAAGCAAATAAACATGGCAGAAGATGAGCATGCGCAGGAGATTGTTTTTCTAATCCGAAGATGTTGCTTTGGTTGGCCGCCATGGAAAGAAAATAAAAAAAGCAGAAGCAGAAAGCCAGAAGCCCGAGCTTTGGCTACCACTTTAGGGAAGTCCTTTTGTAACGTAAACGGTAAATCAGAGCGACCGAAGCTCCGATCCGCTCACATGCATGCGACACGTACTCATGTCACGTGTTCTAAAGCTGAGACTTCTCAAACTGTGAATCCAAATAACATGGATGTAGGATTTTCTTCCATCCAAATCTCTTCCCTTTTCTCTCCTATCCTCTATCATTTTTCTATCTTTCTCTCTTTATAAAAACACAAGATGTTAACGTTATTTAATCGTGACTATTTAAATAAATAAAAAAAGAGAAAAAGAGAGGTTAATCGGAGGAGAGGGAATCCTAGCTAGTTCAGCAGCATGACCTATGGGGCCACACCACCTCCCTCAAAGAAACCGCAAAGCTTCTTCACGTTTTTATCCAGGTTTTGTAGGAAACCCTAAAAACTGAAACTGGAAACAGTGCTCACGCTTTGTTATCTTCTTCTCTTTTGGTCGTGTTTGATGGGCAATGCGAAACAAAACGGCAGCGTCCTGGTCTGGTGGTCTAATGGCTTCTGGTACAGTGTCACGCTAGGCATGAGGGCGTGCAATAATGGAATATAATAAAATGAATTGTTATTATTATTATTATTGTTTGATGCTCTTTGATATTTATGGGGTCTTTTTCATTTGTGGTCCTATAGAATTATATTAATTTATATGGGGCATGCTATTGGTAGCTTTTAAATTTATCAATACGTTTTGGAATTGAAAAGTCACAATGTTGGTAGGTCTTAGTTTTCTGATGGAACCATATGTGGATTACAATTTAAGGCCTTCGTTATGAAGTAAAGATTTAACGATAAAAAATAAAAATAAAATGGAAAAATATATATTCAGTTATTGAGGAAAAAAAAATCGATGTGAATGTTCTCTTGGCCATTAGGTGACCAATTGAATCGTCACTTACTTTTGAATTTGATGTTAAGGTGATTTAAGATATAAGAGCACATGTTTACTTAACATAATTGTGAGAAGAGGGAATTGGAAAATGTAGAAATATGAGAGGCAAGGTAGTATCCCTACTTCCTAGTTGATATAATTTGTTTTTTTAAAGGGGACCAATTGGTGGTTTCGCCACATCAGTCCATCTTTTCAAGGACTAGAAAAATCCACAGAGGCATTTCAACCTCTTCTTGGCCACCATTCTTCACCAGTGACAAGAATCGAACTCAAGACGTGTTGTGTGTAATACGGGCCTAGTATTTGTCCCCAACCACTGGGCCATCCCGTGGTGGTTCTAGTTGATATAATTCTTGATTTTTGGTATTTGATTACGAATTTTAAAATGTAAACTCAATTTTTTCAATTCAATATGTGTTTACATATGGAAAAGTTAAGAAGTGAAATAATTTTCACAGCCATAGTTTAATAAACGCAAAAAACTCGAAAGTCAAAATGATTCCAATTCATATTTGCTGTAAGCAAACATGGTCTAAAATAATATATTTTTATTCTTAATTGCTAAGACGCGAGAGCATATGAAATCGTTTTTATAATCTAGCTCTAATATCATCCTAAAATGTAAATATATAGAGCAAAACCAATAATGTAGTGAAACGATATTTGGGAAGTGAGAATCAAATTTTCAATCAATGTTATTAATGTAAAGATAATATTCTTTGGTTGAAAAGGAGCTACGACATAATATTCTAAGTCTGGACTCAAGTCGATCCTCATGAACAAAAACATAATATTTAATTTTTGCATGACTATTTCATTTTCGGCATGAACAATAAAAATCTAGCAGTGTAGATAACTTTTATGCAATCTAGTAGCATCGATTATACCTAAGAATTTTTTTGACTGTTGCGTGCATTTTTATCAACACAGACGCGTGGGAGAAACATAATGTTGTGATGCTGTTCTTTCATCTGGTGAAGTGGCAGTAACGCCCAAACGTTAGACGACTTGTCGCAGTTGTTAAGCATCTAATTGTTTTTTCAAAGCATCTATTAAGCAACCACCCTTGTAGGGTCCAAACTTCTCTTTTGTCCAGCCAGCCAATTACATATCTCCACGTCATAGAAAATTGGACCTAAATCACTAAACTAACCCTAATCAGACCTTAATTATATTTTGGACCTTAATTACAGTAGTAATATAAGCAAGGATATGCAAAGGATGGTAAGTGGATGTTGGTGGGTGGCTATAAAGAGCTTGTTGTAGAGCTCAAACCACGTCCTCTTTCCCCTATCTTCTCATCCCTTTTCTTCAACTTCACTCTAGAGAGAGAGAGAGAGAGAGAGAGAGGAGAGAGAGAGGAACTAGAGGGAGAAATGGGAAATTGTCAGGCAATTGATGCAGCAACACTGGTAGTACAACACCCAAGTGGGAAAGAAGAGAAGTTCTATGGGGAAGTGAGTGCAAGTGAGATCATGAAGATGAACCCTGGCCACTATGTTGCTCTTCTCATCTCCACCACCTTGTGTCCCTCCAATCCCACCACCGACACTGGCGGTGACCGGAAATACAAGAATTCGAGTCCAAACGACAACAAGAATACCGCTTCTTCGGTTCGAGTGACGCGCATAAAGCTCCTCAGGCCAACCGAATCTCTTGTTCTTGGCAAAGTTTACAGACTCATCGCCACTCAAGGTTTGCACTTTTTGCTCAATTTCTATAATACTATTCTAAACTATTCTAATCAACGGGACGACCTTGACCAACTAAGTCGGCAACTAAGGATTGGTTATGGTTGAGGTTATGATACACAGTCCTTACCAACTAGAGTTGAGGGCGACAGATTGCCATAATCCTTAGTTAAAGCGGCACACTGTCATAACCAACTAGCTTAATTCAAATTCCCGCACTTTGTTAGGTTTAATCTTCTTATTTTTGTACTCACTTATCCTTTTTAATTGTGAGAGTTTAATTAAATCCTGGTTTTTGGGTTTTTAGAAGTGATGAAGGGATTGTGGGCAAAGAAACAAGCGAAGGTGAAGAGAAATAACAATCATCGGGTGGAAGGAGAGCAGCAGCCACAAGTAGAGAGGGTGATGAGAGAGAAGCAAGTTCTGACATCAGGCAGAAGATCTGAGACTTCTGAGCTGCTGGAGAAGGACATCCAGGTAATTAAAATTTGATTTAACAAATTTATCCTCCTTGATTATTAATTAGGTCCGTACGTCTGATCCCTCTGTCACATTTCGAATAGATTCTCTTTTACAATTGCATACATGGTGAGCCCAATACTTCAAGTTTAGTGTCAAACGATCTTAATTACTGAACTTAAGCCTTTTTCTTTTGACGAAAGTCGAAAACAAAATCTCAAATTTAAAGTTAAACGTTCTTAATCACTGAACTGCAAACCCCTTCCTTTTGAGCTGAGCTTTGATTGTGCTTGAAGTGGTCAATCTCATTTTGTTGACTAATCATGTTTTTTAGTAAAAAATAATTATTTAGACAAGTTCATAACTAAAGAAGATTCCTTGATTTGTTAAATCAGCATAAAATCGGGGAAAGAGCAATGAGTTTTCCTCCTGTAACGGCCTAAATCATTAAGTAGATGAATAAATAAACAAAATTATAAAATGCTTTGAAACTCCCTTCAGTACTGTGCTAAATGTATAAACAAATATAATCAATAAATAATTGAAGGAACCAATAAATAAATAAATATTAATTTGGATTAATTGTGCTGTTAATATACTGATTAAGTGAAAATCACTATCTAATTAATCATGTCAAACATTTTCAACAGGTGAATAACAAACGTGAGAGAGCCCACCGACCAAGAACAACAACAACATCAAGAACGTGGCAGCCCTCATTACACAGCATCTCAGAGGCTGCAAGTCGAGATATCAATGTCTCCTAATCTTCCCACATGACGCGTAAGCAACTCAGTGGAGGAGTAGTGGATCAATCAGTACTCCACCTGCAGAAGATGAAGATCAAAGCTCCTCCTGATGTGCAGCATGACGAGTTCTTTTGATTTGAAAAACCAGTAGGGCACATTTAAGAGTGCAGGTAGAAAGGGGTGGTCTTCAGGTGAAGGGATTTGGGTTAAGTTGTGTACAGAAAGGGGTGGAATGTCTAGAATTAATTAGTGAAGAGATTTTTTTTTTTTTTAATGAAAGTTTAGTTCAAGAAGAAAATTGCTTTGGTTTGATTTGGTTCCTTGGTTAATTAATAGTTGTTAAATAAATTTAGTTTACTAGCTCACGAATCATACCTTGCAGATTGCTTTTGAACCAGAATATATAGGAAAACTAATGAACCAAAATTTTCATTAAAACTCAAAATTTTCAAACCCTTTTCATTAGTTTTCCTAATATATAATGGCCAAAGGTTCATAATTTGTTCATATCAAGATTCAAGAGAAAAAATTTAGAGTATTGGATCACCAATCTTATCTCACTCATTATATCGCATCGCATTTAATGAGCGAGATAAGGTGATAGAGATTCATCCTATTACAAGTAAGAATATTTCTCGAATTAAAAGCAGCGATATGATATTGAGTGAGATTGAATGACGCGGCTTTATGAGCGAGAGATAGAGTGATGGAGATTTATCCTTCATTACATGTAAGAATTAATCTCCTCCAAATCAGGCTAAGTTTAAGTTTCAGACAACTACCAAATTGTTGTACAAAATTTCAGATAAAGAATTTTGATTCTATGAAAGCTGCTATATATGTCAAGAAGAGATGGAAAAAGTAAATTTTTTATCATATAATGCTGCTTGCACACAGCCATCATAGTCAGGCTGCAGATCTAGGGATAATGTAATTATATCCATGTCCCTAATGTCTCATATAATTACCCGAAAGCTTACTTATTCCGGGATCAGGTTTACACGTCCTCCATACCTCTACGTTATATCTCACTTCACGTGATTCACGTAAAGAACAAGAAAAAATATTGTATTCTTTCTCATGTAACTCAAGTGAGGAATGAAATAAAAGCATGTCACATCGTATATAACACGTGACAGATATATATATTCCGTCACAGATGAGTCATACTTCCTAATTATACTCAAATTAAGATGTTTAAAGGGAAGAAATATCTCAGCATCCAACTACAGAAAATATTCTCAATCAGCAAAACAAAACAACAGTAAGCTGCTAGCTATATAAGGTTGCAAAGTTAGCTTTAATCATCAAAAGCCTGTACTTTTTGACATCTTCTAACCAATGTAAACGCAAACGCAAAGGTAAAAAGGAAACTTCCCAACAACACAACATCATTGATTTGATTCCTCATCTTTTTGCCATTCGTTGTATCAGAGCAAGACAGACCAAAAATAACAAAGCAAAAGACGGCTTTTCGCTTTTCCTTTTTATTTTTATTGTTTTTTAAATTTATTTGCTCCACTTCGCTCATATGAATGAAAGATTTTTCAATGTGACGGGCACATGAGATGATACATCACATATAATTAAATAAATAATGAGATGTGTGTGTTAAAAAGTTAATAACTTAAAAAATAAAATTTTCGACCACTTATAGAAAAACATATAATGTAACATCCGTGTTTCCGTCACAATTAAAAATTTCTCCACAGGAAGAGCTTTTGAAGTAGGACAAGACAATTGCAAACAGCTCACACGAGGCTGCTTTTGCTTAGGCATGCAACTTACTCTCTCAGTTGATTATTTATGCATTTTTTAGGGATTCTGGGGTCCTCAGATTATTCCATGAAATAAGTGATATCCCACTCGTTTGCCATTGTTGCCCACTTTCTCAATATGCCATGCATATTTTTGGGTTGCTTAATCTAGGCTATCCCCTTTTCTGTTAACAAAAATGATATTTTAAACCACTCTAATTTATCGGAAGGAAGATTCGAACAGATGCAAGTGGTTTTCGTAACCAACCCTTTAAAGAACACTTAAGGATGGAGCCACCTTGGGCCCAAGGGGCAGATTCCCCAACTAAGTTTTTTGGTGAAAAAAAAAAAAACATACTAGTGACATTAGCGAGGTGCATCATTAGTTTACTTGTTTTTGACATTAGCATTAACTCTTTCATAGCTACTGCCAAAGTTGAAAGAACATTTTTGGTCATGAAATTTCTAAAGAATTGAATAAGAAATCAGAGAGATATTTGATAGTAATGGTAATGAAGTTGTCATGCAACGCTTTCAAAACATGAAAAATGCGTCGAGAGATATTGCAATATGTTGTATGAAAAATCTTATAGAAAAGTATTTTGTTTAATAAATTCTTTAACTTCTTAATTTGTAACATTTTTGTTTGAAAATGTTCCCATCCAAACAAATCTATGACTTCTTCCCTGAGAAGAACACTTTGAGTTCTTTCTAAATATACCTTACTTTCTTCTCACTATCTCTTTTAGCTGCATCCAGTTACTTCATTTCAAAGAGACTTAATCTACAATTATTTTTTCAAAATGGTTGCAGAGATACTTTTCTTTATGGAATATGATTCTCTTCCCTCCTCTTTCCATCCCCTTCCATCTCCTCCTCTCACATTCTCTTATTTTGTCTTTCTCTTGCTATAAAAAATTAATATAAGATGTTGACGTGACTTAACTGTGACCGTTCAAAATTAATATAAGATGTTGACGTGGCTTAACCGTGACCGTTCAAATAGGAAGGAAGGGAAAGAGAGGGAAAAAAAGAGAGGAGGGAATCCTACTCCTTTCTTTATATATAAGACAGAGAGTGAGAGAGAACCCTCTGGGGCATTCATCTTTCTTGCAAAACCAGCATGCACTAGCATATGAACAAGTTCTCCAAACATTTAATTCGTGTGCGTACCAAGGGAAAGTGGACTTTTGGGGGGAAAAAGTGGGGCAAGCCCATAACAATCAACAAAAGTTCTTGGCCTAGAGGGTTATCACAAAATGTTTGAGGAGAAATTTATCATTGTAATCGGAATACGAGTGGTATATCACATATTTTTATATAAATGGTAGAAAATTTTAATATTTAAGTTGTTAACTTTTAAACACATATATCTCACCATTTGTGACATGTGGTGTATCACCCTGTATTCCGATCACACTAAAAAATCTCTCATGTTTTAGGCCTGTCTTTTGTTTAGGAAGATCTCTCCAACAACACCATCAATTTAGGAAATTCACAAAATTAACTGAGAAACGATAATTACACATTGTCTTCTCTTTTCAATTTAATGGGAAAAAAATAACGAAAAATGCGTAGGAGAAAAAAAATAGTGTGGTTATCATTTTTCAACCAATAATAATAGCTTCTCGACACGTTAGGTGTATGATATCCTGACTATACGAGACTATTTGGTATTCGTATATTGGGGGAACATCGACAATATCCACATAATATGTAGATGATCTTCATACAAACTACGGTGATAGTATTTTCTACTATAATGATGCTATTTGAAAATATTCCTACTATAATAGTGTAATTGAGAGAGATTTTTCAATGTGTCGTGATCACGCCTGGTCATCAAGTGTCATAATACGAGTGGTTGGAAATATTTTTTTTCAAATATCCAACCACTTGTATTATGACACTTGGTGTACCGGTTTTTTTTTCAAATATTTAACTACTTGTATTATAACACTTGGTGTTCCGCTGCCAAAAATTCCACACTTCCAATAAAGTATTACAATTTATAAGTTCTTGCATTTAGTGTTCACTTTTTCAAAATACAAGTGATAATCTAGTTTAAACTAATTTAAACTGTGGGAGTGAGATTTGAAATTTTGAACTCAGATATATAGGAAAAAGCACATCCGCTCTATCCAATATGCACGTCTGCATATTTAGTTTTCAATCAAATTTTCAAGCCTTCGCTGTTCGGAACTGAAGAAACCAACCAGTCCTTTATGCAGAATACAAATACATGGCTCCTATTGGCAAGTCCGTCAACTTCTACATTGAGGAAGGATGTATATATATACTAAGAAATTTAAGAAGAGGTGACAGAAAGTTGGATTTCTTAGGCAAGGATGAGGATGAAAGATAAATAAGAAATTACGGCCAATAGCTATTCTATTCGAAAACTATGCATTAACTTGCAGTATATCATCCATTCAAACTCAAACTCAAACTCAAAAATTTGCAACAATGCAGCAATACAAATTTTTGTACCCGACAGTGCAACACATTACATAGAAATAGAAAAAAACAGAACCTGAATAGATCTTCTTGTACATGCTACAAGTTGGACTCTTGCTCAGAAACTCCGCGGTGAGAGTGATCAGTCTCAGTGTGAAAAGTTTTGATAGAATTACTAAGCCTCTGCGTCTGTATTCTCAGTCACCTCTTTAACTTCGTCATGCTTGCTAAGCTGGCTGAAGTTTCCCTTCTCCTTGAAGAGTTGGCTATGGTGATGCCTGCAGTAGAGACGATGCTCATGAGCTACATAGTTTGATGGACTGATCACACAGCCTCCATGACTGCACCTGAAGCAAGGTTTATGGTATGATGTGCCGTCAACAGCCACCTGGAACAAGAAGTAAGCAGGTTATAGAATGCAGGATTCTACAATGTCACACCGTCTATATATTAATAACGCATTTTAACATCGGCAATTGTTTATATGGGAAAGGGACAGATCCAAGAGAGCTGACATATAGTTTGGATTGAGGAAGCTCATCGTTATGTTGAAACAGAAATCTACCTTTTCGATAAGGTAAACTGTTTTCTTGCAAGCAACACACTTGTCTTGAGTACCAGCAAATAAGTTCGAAACTTTACTGTTGGTCTGTGTACTGGAAATAGTTAGCGTAAATATAAAAACTTCCACAAAGAAGGGTTAAATCCCATAAATAAATTACTTTTTTTCAATTAACTTGGAAAATTCTATGAAGGAAAACGCAAAAGAGTTAGCAGGTGAAGGCAGGTACCTGATCGGATCTTTCTCGAACAGTTTTTGGTATACCTATAAAACAATAATTGGGAGAAAAAAAATAATCCAACATTACAAATTAGCCAGAAGTTATAAGCATACGAAAATATGTGTTAAGACAACTTGAGCAGCTTATCACCTTCAAAACTTTTATCCAAGCTGCCAGTCATCTTAAATAGCTGATCAAAGTGAGGCTTGCAATATAAAACACCCTCAAAGGAGGAATAGTTACTGAGCTGCACAGACAGAAGTAAATAAGGATAAACGTATCAGACATCTCATAAATATCACACCTACAACAAGAGAAGCAGAGTTAAACTTTTCCATTTTTAAAAGATCAAACATTCACACAGAATTCAATGTGACAAGCAGGTGCCTTGTTTCTGAATAACATACAAATTTCAAATTCGAAACAACATTAACTCTTAAAGGGTCCACTCGATTTCAAAAACTCTGTTTTTGAGAACCTATATGACAATTCGGAAACCTAGAAGACATCATGGATTCATGGTTGGCAATCTAGTGAGCACATTGCTACCAACATTCAATGCTAAGGTGAAAATTGCAGAATAGTTGTTTTCCTCAGCTTGATACTCAATACCTTCTGTGTTTTGAACAAGTATTTGGCCTTACAGAGGTTCTTGATCAAGTTTAATTTGGAGGGTAAAATTGATACTGGGGTGAATTACCATTCTTGATCAAACTCACAATTCAAAATCAATCTTACTTCTACCAACAGAGAAAGCACTTTCTCAAATGTGTAGAATTTAGGAAAAAGCACTTCAAGAACAGAGTCAATGCAGGTAAATTTAAGATGTATCAAATGTAGAGATCTCAATCCTTAACACAGCATTGCAAGACACAAAATTACAATTCAATCCCCAATGGATCTATGCCCACATCCAAAGATCAGTCAATTGCTTGTGCTAACCAGGACTCTAAGCAGCTAAATAGCTTCTTATATTTATCAAACAAGTCCATCCAATTCCACCATGATCATCAAATCTCACAATTTAATAAAATAAAATAAAACAAAAAAAAACCAATTCAGTAAATCACTTATTGAGCACAAAAAGAAGCAAAAAAGCATCAGAAACCATGAAATAAAAGCTAAAGTGAGTGTGTATATACCTTGAGGGTGCCCTTGCAGTGGTGGCATCTGAAGCAAGCCTTGTGGTAGATTTTCTTGTCAGCAGTGAGCTGATCAACCAAGTATACTGTCTTCTCACATGCTTTGCACTTCTGCGTCGTCCCTGCAAATGTTGCCATCCCCCCAAAAAAATTCACACACCCAATAATCAATCTTCTCTTCCCACCACCAATCCAAATCCCAAAATTCTCTCTCAAGACACAAACTTTTTCAGACCCACTGCCCAAAAAACTTTCCTTTTCTCTCTCCTCTCACTTTCTCTCTCTTTCAGTTTTTGAGTCCAAGGTTTACAGCTCAGACAAACACACAGGAAAAATGTGGAAATGGCTTGTGATGGTGATGGGTTTATATTTTTGAACTTGGCCCAATCATATTTGGTAGCCGGACACTCTGAGGGGTAGTTTGGTAAATATCCATCCAAAATTGAATTTGGCTCCACCAAACCAAATTCCAAGCAAACTGACCTTTTGTCCTCATTTGGGACACGTGTCCTTCTGTTGGGTGTGGAAAAAAATTATTGGGACGTGATATTCACGCATACCATTTTACTTCTCATACACATTTTTTATTTTCTATAATTGAAGAAGATCAACGAATAGAAATTATCAAGGATGTGTGAGAAGTAAAATGAGGTATGTGAATAACACATCCCCAAAAATTATTTAGCACACAGATTCGATTCTCGAACATATCCCGGTCTTTCTGTCGTAACTCGCGCGCCTAATTTACATGCAAGATCAAAGTGATTTTGTTCCTTTTTAGTCAAAACATTAGTGAGATTTTTTTTGTTCTTTCTTTGATTTGGTTTTTTCTACATTTGGTACTAGTTGGGAAATTAGGTGGATACAAAATTTTAGATTTAGGATTTTCTAAATCTTGGTTCAAGTTAGGAATTTCTGCATTTTGGTTCTAGAATTGGGATTTTCTGTCTTCCGAAATTCTGAACTAGGTTTTTCAATTGGATTTGGAACTGGCCTGTTTCAAACGGTTCGGGTTAGGTCCGGTTCCATTTTTTAAACCGTGACTACTAGCCCAACCTCACCCTGTTTTATTTCCAAATGAGTATGGTTCAGTTTATCAACGTTTAAGCAATAATCCAATCATCAACTTTCTGTAATTTAGTTTACAAAATTTTGTCTATAAATTTAATTTCTCTAGCATTATCCAAGAAACAAAATACAATTGAGAATTCCAACATTGAATAGCACAAACAATTAAGATGAATAACCAAGGTAAACGCAACAATGTACGTACAAAATCACAAACAGCTCCAAAATATTTGGAAAGCGAGCCAAGTAATTAACTCAAGGCAATTAATTCACAATCCGACGTTTTTCTGGTTACACAACCTAATTAACTGATTATTTGTTGGCCTAGCGCGAAGAAAAGACATAAACCAAATACTGCCACCATTAAATGCAGAGTCGATGGAATCACGGCCAGTCGCGAAACATCAAATTTAAAAGGGTACTTGCCGAGAACCAACTTTCTCCGTAGACTGCACGGAAAAAAGAAATTCTCAGTTAGGGATCCAGCCACTACTCGGAAAACAATTTTAACAAAAAGTCCAACAACAACGATGACAACAAAACCTTATCTCACTAAAGTCTCGTTTGGCAACTTCAAGTCGGATAAGATAAATAGTCATCAGATAAAACTCACCACCGACTACACACCATCATCTCCATGGCTTCTATCCTTTGAAGCCAAAAAAATAAGACAGAAATTTCTCGTAATATTGAGTTTAATTACCTCACAGCATCCGGTTTTCTTAAGAAAAATATATAGCTGCTTATCCATCAAAACGGGGGATTCTTATACTCTATCACGTAGATACATTTCTGCTTGAGTCATCCCAAACACTCATTTAAGGTTCTTCATCTTCTGGAGCTAAAATGACCACAAGTCCTATCGTTCCAGAAATTCCACTAAGATTTAATCACACCGAGAGTTGCTAGATATGTTATGTCAATCCTATTAAATATTAAACAACTCTACCATCCCTTTCCCCAAGTCTTCTGTTACCAAGAAGCAAGAAGTTTGCATAGTTTAAGTTAGGAGCTTTAAGGTGTGAACTTACAGCATGAATCTATCACTACCCTCAATGCCCACATCATGGACTTTAGAATCCGAGGCAGCGTTGTTCTTGGCAGTCTCCTGTGAAACACAAATTTACTATAAAACACTAGAGCTCAAAGACGGGTAAAAAACCTAAGAGTCCTAAGACACGTTCACAATTTATTTCTTTTGCTACAGAGGTATTAACAAATAAAAGGATGTCATACAAACACATTTATTCATCACCTTTTTCCTAGTCATCTGAAAAATCTCCTCTTTTCTGGGTTCAAGATCCCTGCATCCTCTGAGGCACGAAATACTCAGAAATCAAATAAAGTTGCAATCCGTAAAATACAACAGAATATCGAACACTAAAATTTAAATAACAAGGAAAGGAACGGTCAAGAAGAAACTTACGGTGTGAAGCTGAAATTAATGTCAAATAGCCCATAACCCTTAATGCGCAAATCACAAACACTAGAATCTAATTTCTTGATATGCATGGTTCCATCATGGACAATTTTGAATGTGGTGACAAACAGCTCTTGAGACTCGTCTTCTATGCAGGTAGCAGCAGCTTGGAGAAGACAAAACTCCAACTTCCCCAAATGAACCAAATACTCGGTCGGATTAAAACCGTGACAATATTTAATATCCTCCTTAACCCTACTCTTCAATCCTGGAAAGAAGACTGGTTTCTCTAAAAAATAGATAATACAGCCATCTTCCTCTGAATCTATCATGAAAGAGAAAGCTATAACCTTCCCGCACTGTATAGATAAGGCATAGATAGTATTGTCCACAACCACGGCCCTCCCCTGAAAACCACAATAATAAGCATCACTTCTAGCAATATTGACTTGATGCCAAGTATTGCTATCTATATTAAAAACCATTAGCTCAACTCGACTATGACCTAGTGAAACCAAAATACAGCCGTAACAAACCGCGTAACCTGTTATGTCCATGTGGGCCTTGTCACGAGAATATTCAAAATGGGGGAGAGATTCCCAAGATTCAGAATTAGGATTATAACGTTCAAACAATGCGTCGGGCATCTTTATGAAGCATACTGGGGATGCAATTGTTAGACCAAGTCATAGTCCGCGTGAGGTTTCAAGAGTTCGTGATCAAGTCCAACTGTTATCCAACAAGAGTTAGTTTAGGTTAAGACTCTTTCAAATATTTCTTTCCGTGTAAATCCCAGTGTGATCTTTCTGTTGTATCTTTGATTTTCAACTATCCTTGTAAATAGGGATTTCAGTTCCCTGATGTAATCTGAAATACATTATAAATACATGCAGCCCATCACTGATTGGGATATGCAATTGAAGTGAAACTGTGAGTGTTGTAAGTTTTACATGGTATACGAGCCCTAGCAGTCTAACGACACATATCAGTTTTTTTTCTTTTCCATGGCCGATTCTAGCAACGGTGCTGCAACCCAAACCTCCAACCCCGCCAATTCCACCATGAACCCCTTCTCGTCGTTGACCACAGTGGTGAATATTAAGCTGGATCGGACCAATTATCCTCTATGGTTGGCTCAGATCTTACCTGTTCTCAAAAGTCGGGACCTGATGGGTTACGTCGATGGGACGGTTGTTTGCCCTCCCAAACAACTTTCTGGCAGTACAACTACCAATCCTGCGTACACAACATGGGTGCAGTACGATCAAATGATACTCAGCTGGATTAATGGATCGCTCACGCCGTCTGTGCTCTCGGTCGTGGCCAGCAAGAGGACCTCTCGTGCTACCTGGGAGGCTCTTGAGCAACGGTATGCCTCTACGTCCCAGAATCGCATCTTGTTTCTGAAGAATGAACTACTACAAACAAAAAAAGGTGATTTGTCGATTGCTGATTATCTTGATAAGATGAATGCTATTTCTGATAACCTTGCCCTAGCTGGCAAACCTGTGGATGATGATGAACTTGTCCAGATTATTTTGAACAATCTTGGGCCTGCTTATGAGATGACAGTGAACGCTGCTCAGGCACGTGATACTCCAATCACGTACCCTACGCTTGAGGCGCTCTTACTGACAACCGAGAGGAGGATGACTGAGCAAGCTGCTCCCCTCATGGAGGCTGCTCCTATTAATGCCTTTGTCACTACCAGAGGTCGTGGTGGACGATCTCGTGGAACTGGACGAGGAATGGCTCCAGCTGGACGTGGTGGTGTTGCTGGAAACCAGCGTGGTGCCAATCCCCGCAACAATTATTTCAATAACAGTGTAAGACCTAATTTTGCATGCAATGGTGAAAAGTTCAATAGTGCAGGCGAACGGATTACTTGCCAAATTTGTGGAAAACAAGGGCATCCTGCCCTTGATTGTTACCAAAGAATGAATACTGCGTATGAAGGAAGGATCCCAGCCAAGAACCTCACTGCCATGGCCACCTCTCCAATCCCTCTTAACCGACAAAACAAAAAAAACAATGGTCAGTGGCTGCTTGATACTGGAGCCAATGCCCATGTCACTCCCGATCTTAAGAATTTGGTTAATCCAAAAGAGTATCACGGTAATGAGAATGTGGGTGGAGTAGGTAATGATTCTGGAATTTCTATTTCTCATCTTGGTTCAAATACTTTACAAACTAAATCTTGCTCATTTGAATTGAAAAATATCCTAAGATGTCCCACTGCTTCCACACATATTATTTCTGCCCACAGATTTACCCTAGACAATCATTGCTATATACTTATTTTCCCTCATTTTTTCCTTGTCAAGGACCTCAAGACCCGGAAGACGCTTTTCCACGGGAGATGTGAGAATGGCTTATACCCATTTTCAGGTGGCGGTGGACAGTTTAATTACCCTATTTCAGTGTGTGTCGGCGTTCGAGTCTCGGCTCATAAATGGCATTCACGCCTTGGGCATCCTGCCTCGTCTATTGTCCAGTTTTTAATTTCAAATAAGAAAGTTCCAATTCTTGGTGCTTCCAATGTTAAGTTTTGTCAGTCATGTCCCTTAGGCAAGAGTACTAAATTACCTTTCAGTAGTTCGGAGTATGTTTCCCAATTCCCTTTACAACTTTTGCATTCTGATGTTTGGTGTTCGCCCGTTAATTCAGTTGAAGGTTTTCGCTATTATGTGTTATTTGTGGATGATTATTCTCGGTATTCTTGGGTTTTTCCAATGAAAACTAAATGTGAGGTCTTTGAAATCTTTGTGAAGTTTAAAGCACAGGTTGAAAATATGTTTAACAGGTCTATCAAAACTCTTCAATGTGATGAAGGTGGTGAGTATAAAAGTCATGTATTTCAAACCTATCTTGCCACTCATGGCATTTCCCAAAGATTTTCGTGTCCAAAACATCCTGAACAAAATGGCATTGCCGAAAGAAAACATCGTCACATTATTGAGACTAGTATTGTCATGCTTTCTCATGCACATATTCCAAATAAATATTGGGTGGATGCTTGTTTAACAGCTACTTATTTAATTAATAGGTTGCCAAGTCGTGCCTTGTCTCACAAGTCTCCCTATGAACAACTGTATGCCAAAATGCCAAAATATGAAACTCTTAAAGTGTTTGGCTGTCAATGTTATCCCTGGTTAGTGCCTTACGCACAAAATAAACTCCAACCAAAGTCAAAACCCTGTGTGTTTTTAGGTTACTCACTGAATCATCAAGGGTACAAATGCTTAGATTTGTCCACAAGACGAATATATTTGTCTCGCCATGTCCTATTCAATGAGGACACTTTTCCATTTAAGGAACTCACATCTTCCCTGGGGAGCGTTGGATACACAGGTAATATGACTTCCCCTGACTTATTATTTACGTTTCCGCTTTTATCTCCATCACCACAGTCCACTTTGTTGCTTCCTAGTCCGCCTTCACAGGTCCAACCCCAACCAAATCCCATATCTTCTGCTATTCCTCAGTCAAATAACCTCATCCCAACCTCTAGTTTACCTGCTCCTAGTGACCCACCAGCCCTAATGCCTTTAGAATCCTCTAGGTCTGCCACCCCATCTTCAAATGAGCAAGAGGCGTTACCAGTTCCTGAACTGAACCACTCCGTGTTAGTTGATGATCACGGTCCTACTTCCTCCACCCAACAGTCTGTGCCACCCGCAAGAATGACTACTCGTTCACAGTCTCGCATTCAAAAGCGTAATCCCAAATATGCTTTGCATGTTACTATTAATCCTTCTCTTGTTGAACCAACATGTTTTAGTCAGGCCATCAAGAATCAGGAATGGAGGAATGCCATGGTTCAAGAGTTCAATGCCTTACAGCGGTGTGGTACCTGGAAGCTTGTTCCGTATCATTCACGCATGAACTTGTTGCCTAACAAATGGGTTTTCAAGCTCAAACAACGTGCAGATGGCTCAGTTGAACGGCATAAGGCGAGGCTCGTTGCAAATGGCTTTCATCAGAAGCCTGGCATTGATTATACAGAAACTTTTAGTCCCATGGTGAAGCACAGTACTATAAGGCTTGTTCTTAGTCTTGCGGTTTCACACCGATGGCCCATCCGACAGTTGGATGTACAGAATGCGTTCTTGCATGGATTTTTGAATGAGGATGTGTATATGCGGCAACCGGCCGGTTTTGTTGATCCGCAGTATCCTAATTATGTTTGCAAATTGCAAAGGAGTATCTATGGCTTGAAACAAGCTTCTCGAGCTTGGTTTCATCGGTTCTCGGAATTTTTGCTTCAATTAGGGTTTCAAGCATCCACTTGTGATTATAGTTTGTTTGTTTATAATCACAACGGTGTTTACTTGATTCTCTTGATATATGTGGACGATATTTTGTTGACAGGGAATAGCTCACGGCAAATGACTTGCTTAATAAAAAAGCTGGGCACTTTGTTTTCCATGAAGGATTTGGGTCCATTACATTATTTTCTCGGAGTTGAAGTCAAATATGTGGATGATCAGATGCATTTGAGTCAAGCTAAGTATGCGTTGGATTTGTTGCAGCGTACCACATTCTTGGATGCCAAACCGATTTCCACTCCAGTTTCTTGTGGCCAGAAATTGAGTGCTTATGATGGTGAGGCACATGACAGTCCAGACGTATATCGAAGTGTTGTTGGCGCACTTCAATATCTTACCATCACCAGACCCGATCTTTCGTATGCTGTGAACCAGGTTTGTCAGTTCATGCACTCTCCAAAGACTACACATTGGACGGCCGTCAAGAGGATCCTTCGTTATGTTAAGGCCACGTACAATCATGGTCTTCTGTACAAACCTGGTAATACACATCTCACGGCGTTTTCCGATGCTGATTATGCTGGAAATCCTGATACTCGGCATTCCACTGGAGGTTTCTACATTTACTTAGGCTCCAATCTTGTGTCCTGGAGTTCTAAGAAACAAAAAACGGTGTCTCGCTCGAGTTCCGAAGCTGAGTACAGGCAGCTGGCTTACACCGCGGCGGAACTATCATGGCTACGGTCACTTTTTCGTGATTTACAGTTACATCTTGTCTGTCCAACGCTTTGGTGTGACAATATCTCGTCCATTGCTTTAGCTTCGAATCCAGTGTTTCATTCGAGAACGAAGCATTTGGAAGTTGATTATCATTATGTTCGTGAGAAGGTGGTTCGTGGTCAGCTAATGGTGAATTATATTTGTTCCCAAGATCAGATAGCTGATTTGTTCACTAAAGGCTTGTCTGCTGTGCGTTTCAAACTTTTAGTATCCAAGCTTCCAGTTGTATCTCCCCCTGTCAGCTTGCGGGGGGATGTTAGACCAAGTCATAGTCCGCGTGAGGTTTCAAGAGTTCGTGATCAAGTCCAACTGTTATCCAACAAGAGTTAGTTTAGGTTAAGACTCTTTCAAATATTCCTTTCCGTGTAAATCCCAGTGTGATCTTTCTGTTGTATCTTTGATTTTCAACTATCCTTGTAAATAGGGATTTCAGTTCCCTGATGTAATCTGAAATACATTATAAATACATGCAGCCCATCACTGATTGGGATATGCAATTGAAGTGAAACTGTGAATGTTGTAAGTTTTACAGCAATATTATAGAGCTTGCCATAAGCAGACATAAAAAATGA